TCAGTCATTCCAATGTAGTAAATACTTTGTCATGCACATGTGATAGGTGGCACAGTCCATTAAACAACTTATGAAAAATGAATAGAAGTATCAAACAAAGAGATTTCCTCTGTTTTGTTAATTGCATTCTCATAAACACAGACACAAGGAAATTAAAAAATTAGGTGACACAATTAATGAAAGAACTGGTATATAAATTAATCAACTGTCTGATGCACAAACATCCGATGCACAAACACATGGCAGACTTAATCGCTTTTCTCACGAACTTTTTATTCAGTTTTTATTAGAACTTTAGACGTCATTACGATTTACATTCGTTAATAGTTTATTTTTGTTATGTGGGTTAGTCGGGTCTTCTGTTTCCTAAACTTTATGGCTAGAGAATGAAGAAACTGCTTTTATTATGCAAATTCTTAATACAGTTATGAGTAAGAGTTCAAATATATTTTTTTATAAACGCACCCTAGTATGGGGCAACGTTGTTTAAAGGAAGAAAAAATGTCATCGATTTTCCTATTTCATGCCTATATTAGTACCTATAAGATGGGTATTGAAACGCACTAAATAATAAAACGGTTGTTGATATTGAGAGCACCTGTCTTCACAACTTAAAAATAAACCCAAAGTAAGTGAAGGATAATTTAATAGGGTAGATACCTAATTTTTATTTTAATGTCCGTCTGGTAGATGGTTTTATAACATTAGACACGTATTTTTTAATTTCTTACAGAAACGAATACTTTCGACGATATATTGATTTGAACACACATTTTATACTTAGAAATGACGTTTTAGCCCCCACTCCTAAACTTTGATTCAATTTATCTAAGTATTATTTTATTATACGACAAAATAAAAAAATACGTGTCTAATATTTTATCATTACCTAACTTACGGACTAATTACATTTTTATATTTCATACACCGTCATCATCCCTATTATTGGAATGGAATACTTCATCGTTAACTTCAGTATTTATGAATAACTGTTTAACTTTAAAATGTGACCAGTGTTTAGAAACAAAATTGTGGTTTTCTGTATGCATTTACATTGATTGTGTCATTTCGTGACGACATTCCGTGACACAAAATGTTCATTTTTATAATTATCCCTAAGTTCGCGTGACATCCAACAATCGTGCAACAGGTCATCGGGCGGGACAAAACACGAATTAATTACATGGCTTTTGTTGCCGTAATCACTATAAACAACATTAAAATGCATGTTTCCGATTCGTTCTTCAAATAAATTCGACTAATTAGTTTAATTGCGTGACTATTTTATCAAAAACATTTATATGGAACGGAGATTTGAAAAATTTCTTAATTTGGACTTCCGAATTTTTGTTGCGCAATTAAAATAAGAATAAATTATGGAATAAAAACTACAATGGATGGGAAATATTTCGTTCATTGTCGCTTTAAAATAAATTTTGCAGTAAGTATTACTGGAATATACATACGAGTAGAAACATATGATAGATAGTATTTCCAAAGCCAAGAAAAGGGTCCCAAGCATATAAAGTAAACTAGACACGTTTTATCAGCACGCTGCACATGTCACAATAGAATGTTGATCCCTTGATTGTGTTTAATTACGAGCATTTTTCCCACAACCAATTAGCAGTGTGTTCATATGACAGCAAAGTAATAAATATATCAATTAGGCCCTGTCTTTACTAATGAACGACTAACTTAGGCCTTTACATGTATTTCAAAGTTTACTTAATCAATGGAGGTATGCTTTCCACATCTGGAAGATTAATCACCCCAAAGTGTGACATAATGCTGACTTATATAATTAATACTAAAGTAAAATGTCATACTACAATTCACTGGGTCTCCGATAAATATAATCATTCAGGATCGGAATCATAAGGGGAGACATAAAAATATCAAAAACCAAACTACGTGAATGTGTACAAATATAAAAATATTCATATTGGACCGCCATAGCGTGAAATTATATTTTTGCAATCGTACAAACACCAAAATAATGCAGAAAATTGGACTTTAAGACGTGTACTGGTAGAAAATACAAACTTTTAAAGAGAGCAGATAGTCATATAAAGAGTCAAAATGTTAGAATATTTCTTACCGAAACTTTGCTGTACTCGTGATGATGCGCCAGAAGTAAAGGCGCACAGCTAGAGGCTGCACTGGACACGCTCAGCGCATCGCCTTCGCTGGTACCCTCCGCCTCGTCCCATCGCCGCCGCCCCGACCCGCTGCGAACACCCCCGACCATTCCCGGACCCCGCTCAAGCGAAGCAGAACCAAGCGACACATCCGTATCGACCCTCGGAATACCACTATCATCCTCGCACTCAGACGATGAACTCTCAGAGCCTTCTATTAAGCAAATACCACTCTCATGTTTCGATGAAGAAACCTCTGATTTGTTTTCGCAACTATTTTCCTCTACGATAACATCAATTTCAGGTTTAGATTTACTTCCAAATCTGAAAGAGTCGCTGTGGACCCATGGTCTTTTTGCTGTGCTTACTTCTGATTTAACTGTCTCTGCGTCGGATACTTCTTCGTCCGAATGCAAGGTACCATCGTCTGAATCATCTGACGAGTCTTCAATACAAGACTTGAATGACGCGTCAGATTTGATTGTGACGTTAGAGTTACAAGAATGAAGTGACCAGTGACCGGAATATTCCGAGGAACTCGATTTTCTAACAGGCAAATGCACACCAGAAGCATTAGATATAGTAGAGGTTGTCGATGTTGAATGTGAGTTTAATGATATGACTTCTGCAATATCTTTAATAGAATAAGGACGTGCAGACGAAGATGATGAAAGAGTAGAGGGGTGTGACATAGGAGTGTAAACAGGACTTTCCAGGTCTGTATTTTTGCGAGTTAGATTGGTATTCCTCGCAATTATATCATCAACACTAATAACGGCGTACGGATCTTCTAAATTATTTGGTACCGATTTATTTTTCGGCAAAGTTAATTTATTTGTTGTCGAATAAGGAGAGGATTCTAATGTGATATCTGGCGTCGAAATACTTCTTTTGATAGCTGAAAATTTAACAACTAAGTCTACAGGAGACTCGCGTCTGTTTGAGTGCAACGTACACGTACCGGAATCACAATAGCATTTAAATGACGATGATACTATTTCGTTTCTGTTTTTAAGCGCTTCAAAGTCAATAGTAACTTGTCCATCTTCAGGCTGGGTATTCTTGTCTAAAAGATCTTCAGCGCTACTGTGAAACTTTGGAGGTCTGGGCCTGCAGAAGCATATTGCTGTTTCAAAATAACTGTCTCTTTTGTCGTTGGGGACTTTTGTAAATGGTGGAACGTCACTATAAAGCGTTTCCCTGTTAAAAATGTAAATAAACTCTTTAACTGTAGGGGCGTTATAAATACAGTGCCCGGTACCTCTAATGTGATAATGAGCTAACGTTTCTTTTAAAAATGTATTATTCCATTGGGGTAAATCCTTAACCTTTACTGAATTTCTATCTACTTCAATGTTAGTAAACGTTTTATGTCTAAATAGAACTTTTTTACTGCCACTTTTTTCTGTCTTTTTGTTTGGTAGGGTTCCAGCCATGGATAGATACAATGGTTTTTCTTCTACTTCATAGCTACAATCAACATTCTCTAAAGCACTAGCTTCTGTCTGGTCTGAAGAATCCGATGCGGTTGATTGAGTTCGTGATATTTGTAATTTCGCAGTAGAATAGGGAGAAGTTTTACGATGCCGAAAAGATTTTGACTTCTCAGAAAGTAATATATCCTCAAGATTCGATTCATCAACCATAGAATCTGAAGATAATGTAGATGACCTACTTCTAGTAGAAGATTTATCATCAAAACCATCTGAACTTGGCTTTTTAGGTACGAAAGTCCTTTTCAAAGGCTCTGGCTGTTTTCTTTCTTGAATAACAGATATATTTTCATACAACGTTTTTCTTTCAACTTCATCGAGGGGTTTCACAGGAACATGAATTCTTGCAGCCGGCTTTGGTATAGTTTTAACTTCCATCACGATATTTTCATAGATGTTTTCATTACTACCTGAACTAGCTACGTTGAGTCGTGGAGGAGGCCTTGGAAGTGACAACTTTTTCCTACTTCCACTACTACCAGTTTTAGAAAATTCATAAGATTCGTAACATTCGTTAACTAATTGTGTCGATTCTGTAGATATAACAGATTTTCTGTCATTTCCTTCTCTGGGTTCAAATATATTCAGTTTCAATGTATTATTAACAGCTTCATTTATTTTCAAATCCTTTTTACTTTTATCACTATAGTCTATTTCTGTAATCACAATAGATTCTGCAACAGATTCTTGAGAATCACTAAGCTCATTGTTTTCTGATATATTAGGTAGAGATGTTTTGAATCCAGGGCAGCTCCTGTTACTTCGATTAACAACAGAATCTCTGTTCAAGGTTCCTAATCTATCTAATGATATAGTATCAAATTCATCGTTACAAACAATTTCGCCAGATTCCTCCTTTTTCGACAACATTTTAAAGAATTTACTGTTTCCTATAAGCAATGTATTTGAGTTACTTTTTTCCGATTGTTTCGATTTCACATCGACTTCCGCTGCATTATTAGAAATGTTAGGAGCTGAATTAAATTTCGCTTTTAGGCCCAAGCATTTTGAAGCAAGCTTTTTGACAAAACTTTGAGGATGACTTTTTGTTAGAGACGATGAAGATGGAGTTAAAGGGCTATCAATATTATTAGTATTTTTCTGGGTCTCTGTTGGTGTCCTGTAAAACACATAAAGCGACAAAAAATAAAACAAATCGTAAAACAAAATTTAACTTAACTTAATGTGATATCGTAAATATTGTTAAACACTTCATTAGTTTTTTACCACCACCATAAGCGAGAAAAATATAATAAATATAATGAAAAAAGTAAGATAACATGATTAAGAATACTAAGATGTAAGTACATATGTACATAGGTAGGTACCTAACAGAGACTTGCAAATCGCTTGCACATCTTTTGTACTACCAATCGACAAAAAGTTGTTTAAAGTGAGTCATTTTCTTTTTAAGTATTCCTGTTACTCTGGTCTGATCTTGGTTTGATTCGATGTTCTCATTACTTTCATTGTTTTCATTATTATCATACCTCTGTACAACACTTGCATCGTTAACGTCGATGCGCTCATTAGAACCAATGTCTCTATCTGTCGACAAATCATTTAAAGAAGAATAAATTCCCTCTTTACTTTTCATGGCAACGTAAATATCTTGACAGCTATGATACAGTAGTTGGCTACCGTCTGAGTGGCGAGCACGGTTTATTCTTTCTCTAATTTTCTCTTCTCTGTCTGGATCTTCGTGACAATAACAAGGCATCGGCTTAGCTTTCTGTTTCTTCTTAGTAAAAGGATGAACGTTTCCTCGGTACGTTTGTGGATTTATTTCGTAAATATATAAATACTCAGGTGGCTCATAAATGCATCCAATGTCACCCCTAAGATGAACGAGATCAGTTTTGTTGAGTTGAACAGACAATGATTTCTCGTTATGCTGCGTACCACTCATTGAAACATAGTCTTCATAATTACCCTCTGAACCAGTTTCAAAGTTTTCCGTAGTTTTAGAAAATATTTCATACTTTGCTACACTTCCCGATATTGTTGCACTTCTATGAAATTGTTGATGATTAAATTTATCCATAATTACATAATCAGTTTTAGGGCCATCGTATTCCGGATTTGTGTCATCATCTTCCGTTAGATTTCTACTAACATTTTCGTATATGTTGTCTTCAATTGCTTCACATTTAGGATAATCCTCTACTTTAACGCAGCTGTTAGCATAAATTGAATCAATGTGGTCTTCATCAGGTTCAGGTATAAACTTAGACACATAAGCTATCGGCTTTGGAGTAGGTGTGGGTAATACTTTTTTAGGTGCACTGCTGGTGTTATTTAATTGGACTGAACCTGTAGTTACAGTTTTACTTGTTTGTTCAATAGTGGTTACTCTTTGGACGTTTTGTTTACCGAGATCGATTCGTCGTTCTACGGGCGATACAGCGTTGTCTTCCTTTTCAGATCCCGAATCAGCTTCAGCTTTTGATTTGTTTCGTGATTTAAATTCACTTATAAGTTGATTTTGATTTTCCAATAATTCAGTACATGCAGTTTCAGAAGATATTGCATTGCCAATGATTTTAAATTGTTTATTGTTTCTAGCTTTGAGATCAAAACTCTCGCTTCTTTGTCTCATATCAACATTGATAGTATGGTTGACAATTGATTTAGTATGCCCTTTGAAACGGGGCTCTGGTGGTGGTGTTTTAGATTGAGCGTTAGTTACAGATATTTTTTTCCTATCATTGTTATTTGGAGAAGCGGGTGTTTTTGGATCAAGCACTATAGCAGGGGGTTTTAAAATATGAGTAGACCTGTAAATTAAAATATTTATGTGTTCACCGATATGTTACACGAAGTTATTTTGATATTATAATTATAAATATATGTATTTATTCAGGTATTGGTTTACAAAACATTGTCACTTTTTTAATTCAAACATTTTAATAGGGTGAGCTTTCTTTTAAATTTCATTAGGGCTTTAATTTCATCCCTTTGGTGGCGCGTCCACGTTTTCACCAAAGCTGAAAGTGCTCATCCTGAAGTATTTAGCTCGCCATCAAAGGACGTCGTCGGGGAGATATTTTTCTCGTGTCACACAAACGTCTCACCTAGCTGTTTGCAGACAAAATCAAAGATACGGAAGATTTTAATGAGGCAAGCCGTATTCAAAGTTTTTGTTTATAGTCATAATTCTTTTGTAAACTTACATGATTCCTTTTTTGAAGAGATGGCAGCTTTTTTATTTGAACATGAATGTAAAAGAATTCTAAGAACATTTAATTAATTAAATAATTGTAGCTGCTTATATTACGTACGGTTTATGTTTTTATTTATTTATATATTATTTAAATATATTAAATATTTTTTGACTAGTATTAGTCAAGCTAGACCCAACTACATCTCATTATTTTACCATAACTACGCCCAAACAGTGAATATTATCAAAAAACATGATAATTCATCTAAATACGACACGAGTTTCTTAGATAGGACCAAACTTCAAAGGCGACACGTCGTGTGTCGTAATTGAGACGACCCACTCCAATTAAAACTGAATGTTTTGAGCCCGGAGCCTCCTTTCAGTAATTGCCGGTACCTTTAACCCAGAGTCTCTTTACGTATAAACGGACAGATTTAAATAGAAAGAAATCGTGCATGTTAGTAGATAAAAGAAGATAAAGAGTCCCCTTACCGTGTTAATGGTTAGCGTAATGAGTTATGATATTATGAACCTTGTGCTACTATGGAATGTGCAGTCTAAGGCAGAATGTACTAAGCGTCTTTTTCACCACCTTTATATAAATATCCGATAAACTTAGGTGACCAATAGTTCATTCAAATTACGTTCTTATTTCTTTATCTTGTAAAGTGGTTATTGAGACATTGTGAAACAGGCTTTAAATGTATATTTGAAGCATAGATATGTAGTGCAATTATCTGCTTAAGACTGCACAGTTAGGTTATGCATTTTCGTCAACTTTAAGCTTGAATTATCTATTTTATGTGAATAAATAATTATGTATGTAGACTGAATTCTTTGTATACCGCAAAAGTTGACGTCAAAGCATAGCCTTGGATTGTAATGAATCATTAAACAAACTGTCGATATTTATAAATCATTGGTTGTAAACAGATGAAGGGCTGATGTTTTAAAGTATTAATTAGTTTTATATAGTTCGCCAGTGAGCCGCTTCGGCTTCGCACGGGTGCAATATGCATGTATCATACATATAATCCTTAAGAATCACTTTATCTATTAGAAAAAACAGCATCAAAATCCGTTGCGTAGTTTTAAAGATCTAAGCATACATAGGGACAGACAGATGGCGGATAGCGACTTTATTTTATACTATGTAGTGATTATTGTTTGTATAATAACCGAAAGTTTCTATAAATTTAGTTTTCTTTGTTACTCTCTATAGAAATTCTTATTGTACACGATTTTTGTTGCTGGATTCTGATACAAGATTACTTAATCTTTAGCAGCTGTGGCACTACTTCTGATTCAGTTTCAGTAACTTCATGAACCAATAATATTATATCGTATCTTCCAAATGAAATGTGCTAAATATTCTGTCGGTTAAGTTAACGTAAACTTACTCGATATTAGTAAAACGGATCTTAAGCCAATTTGAACTTTGTCTTGTTTTTTTTTTTTTTTTTTAAGGGGGGAAAATCATCGAATGACTGCTCCCGCCTGGGTGAGGCGGAAGGGAGTGTCAGACTCTTACTGACTAAAAACCACCCCGTTCCTTCTCCTGCACGTCGAGCCGGAGCCCCAGTTACCCGTTAGGTTCTCCGCGACTCCGAATCGGCATCGGCCCTATTGGGCCCCATCTGTGGTGGTCTGATGGCTCTTTGAGGCGCGCGCGGAACGCGACGCGCCGTACGCTCGGGTCTGTTTCAACTTTGTCTTGTATAGGTTTAAATGTCAGTATCAAAAGTCAAATATTGGCAATACGTAACATAATATGGGACAAGAGATGTATGTATTATATCGAATTTCCATCTATAGGACTATAAATCACTGAGTCTATCTTTACTGTCCCAATTTTCAACCTTCGCTTGCTTTAAATACATCAGCATTTCATTTGTTTACTTTTATTTTCTGTAGCGAAATAAATTACACAACTCATAAGGAGTAATATTCGAATTTAGGTTCTATTACAACGAAAATAAGACTCACATTACGGCGTCGGGGCTGTAGTCCTGGACGGGGAACGGAGGCAATTCTTTGTCGCTGTCGAAATTCCCCATGAGGTTTTCATATTCTGTCAAAATCGTATGACATTCAATTAAGTATGAAACAAAATATTACAAATGGCAAATACGGAGGTCGAGCAGTTTCATTCTTTCAATTTTATTCTAGAGTTGGAAAAAGTATTTTTTTTTATGCAATAGGAGCAGCAAACAAGCAGACGGATCACCATGATGGTGAGCGATCAGCGTCGCCCATGAATACCCGCAAAATAATACTGTTTTCAGCATTTGTAGTTTTTCGAAAATTCTTATTACTACACACTGAATTGTGACCGGTGTACAACAACAGGTTTACCTCCTATTCCATGGAACTAATAACATAACTATCAAAAAATAGTTTTCACATAAAATTATGCACTTTTGTCCTTCGAAGATTAAAATATGTTATGCCATCAAAACTTAATTGCAATTCATGATTAATAGTCAAATCTAACATTAAATTCCTTCTATGTTATAAAAACAGATATTAAAACGATATGAATAATATTATATAAATATCCTGATGTTAATAAATTAATCACAAAACCATACGTAACTTGTTATTGAGGTCATATTATGAAATTAGATAATTAATATTATCCTGTAAGTTAAACATGGTATTTTGAGGATAACACCATCACCTATAGGACTATTCTATGACGGCTATCGCTTTAGGAAACCATCATAACCATTATTAGGTACTTACCTATACAATACCATAAATGTGATTTTAATAAACAATTGTAACAGTGGTAAAATGTCTATTTTTCCCAAGGAATAAAGCTTAATTGAGGTGTTATTAATTTTCTAAAATGATAGCCCATAAAATATTTCATTATGTCTAAAAATCATATAAAAACAATGTTAACTGAAAAACAAAACTAGCATAAACAAGTCTAATATGAAGTTAGTTTCTAAGTTACAACTGAAAAAAAACAATGTTGTGTTATACAATTATAATAATTATGTATTTAGCAAAAACTAATCTTAATTGTTTTATTTAATTAGCTGCATACATTTCAGTTCCATAAACACGCCAAAAATAATGAAATGCAAAGCCTAATAAAGCATGAAAAACCCAATGAAATGAAAATGAACCTAAACTAACAAAACACAAAAACGCTTTTACTAAAAACAACAACAATTTAAAAGCAGAAAACACAGGTGTACCTACAGGTGATGTTGTTGGACCAATTATGATTGTGACGTTGAAATTTGAACCAATCAGAATATGTGACGTTGAAATTTGGACTAATCAGAGCAGTTGATGATTTTGCGTTTAATCCGTCAACACCAGGCAAATGAATGAGCGACATACCTGCTTGGAACATACCTCGAATCACTTTCCTAACTTTTCTTGTAGCTTCTTCAGGATATTCAGCTAGAAGGTCGTAGACTGTCTTCCTTGAGGAGTCTTGAGCATGGAGATCAGCTCCCTTGTTGAGGAGTATGCGAACCACTGAGGGTTTTCCGAAGCGAGCTGCTTCGTGGAGAGGTGTACCGCTGTGGGTTCTGACGTTTGGGTCCATGCCAGCGTCTATTAGAGCCGTTACCACGTCCCTGGTAAAAATAAGTGAAAGTTAGTAGTGTTTTGGCTGTAAATGGATTTATATTTAAAACTGTAGTATGTATTCTAAAACTTGGATTATTGAATGTTGATTCTTTCTATATCCGAAGTACGCTTAAAAGAAATTGTCCGTTTCTGAAGAGGTAGCGATAGTGTAGTGCTTTATGCTAATATTCGTTCTAAGGATTTTACTTTGTACACAAAGCACCGCTAATTAGTTGCAGCGCTACACATCGACACAACTGTCATTTACACAGTGTACATGTGTGCGTAATTTCATATAACTGTATATAAAAATATTCGTCCACCACGTTCACATTGGTATTTTCATTCTTGTGTCGGTATACGTATTTTTATAATTTAATGCATAGGTAAGGTTAAAACTATTTACAATCATTGATATGACCCGACATTTTCACTGTCATTATCGTAGTGCTCGTGGTCGATTGGTTAATGAGCACGCTTTTATCGTCTTTCAAGGATCAATGATGTGGGTTCTATTCCAGCTAAAAGTTAATTTTATTTTACCTTGTTATTTTTCTTATTTTTTTTTTTTGTTTTTTGTCATAAAATATAAATATCAGGCTATAAAAGAAGCAAATGAGTTGGTAAATAAAACAATACTATTTTTTATTACAATTAATTTATTTATTATACAAATATGTTGTTTTATATTCAATATTTATATCTAATAATTAATTATATACCACATGTTAAGTTTAAAGTTCTTTAAATCATAATTAATAGATATGACAATAAACCTCATAGTCGAATCGGGAAATATCATGCGGTACAGCGGTAATACGATGGCAGCAACATTTTTTATTAAGTAATAAACAAATATACAACATTCTTGTTTTGTAATTAATAAAACAGTTTTACAGTAATAAACAAGTAAAACATGTAAAAAATTACACTGTCAACATAATATTTCTTGAAATGGGCGACTTTTTGTCGTTTGAACTTCCATTAATTATCTATTTTACGACGGTTGTTATAAGGTTCAATATTCAGTGGGCTGTATGATAGTAAAAAGAATGTGACGAATGCTATGGAACGATTTTAACTTTCATGACCTTTAGAATCAGGGAAACTTTAAATTAATTGAAGATGGGCGTAAATATAATATGTCAATCAAGTTCGAAAGCAGTTAAATAAATTTGTTAATGAAAAATTAAAGTGAAGTGAATAAACATGTTGAATAGAAAGAAATTATGACAATTTCTAACCACAAAACAATAACATCACTTCACCGTATGTTCTAGACAGCATTTTAATATTCTTAAAAAAATTAAACATTATTTTATGTTAATTTTAATAAAGGCAGAGTTTGACAGGCTCAATAATTGATTCCGAAATCAATACAATCACTGATCCTACAAGGCAGAAGGTTGCAATTCGTATACCTTTCTCCATCTTTTCTTCACAATATTTTACGCCCATCCTTATCCGACTTGAAAGTCTTTTCGTCGCTCAATATGATTACACTGTTCGCCCAATCAAAATTAATAAAGTCCTTAGCAAATTCTTAGCGCTTTTGCTGGTGAACCACAGATAACAATATTTTCTTCTCTGGCTTCCTGCACCTTAAACCAGAATGCAGGTGTCTCCGTACAGTTTGTATTAAAACATTCAGTGCTGTCGCTGTAGTGCGGGTTGGCAGGAACGGATCAGCCATGTGCCTGGCTACGATGTCGTAGTGCCGAGCCGATGAATTTGCCTTTGGTTTAGGCCCACGTCGACGATGTTTAACGTCACCGGTCTCCGCATATCTGTGCACCCATAACTGCATGGATCTCCTCTGTTGATACCAAACAAATAAGTATTTAAAATACCAGGAAATACTTTACAGGAATTAAAGTTACTTAAAAATAATAATAAATATAAGTAAACACAATGTTAGAATAATAATTTATAATTAAGTAGTGGCGTAAGGAATAAAAATCCCTAACCAGATATGTTTTAAAGAAACACTCCTAACAAAAACAAGTCAAGTTACAATACAATTAATAATAAATTATTAATATATCTTTATAATATTGAACTTCATAATAAGTTGCAATAATTATTTTATTCTAGTGCAAAAATTGATAGGTGTGTCGAGTTACAAAATGAAATAAATATTATTTAGAATATCAACGTAGTATCTTATTTACTCACCGATATCATTAAACGCCTTGCTATTTCAGTTATTGTTAGTTATGTTTTGCTCATGCAAAACAATGGTTTCAGCCTTTTTAAATGTTGATAGGTGTTGGAACATCTTGTAAAAATAAAAATAACTTTGCACACGAATATAAGTAGTGTAGCAATAAACTATGAAATCCTCATAAATTGACAACTAAGAACGCAATTATTTTGTAAGTCGGGTGATTTGAAAAACATGTTTTAAATAGTCGGTAGTTACTTCATAAGCGTGTAAAATAAAATGACTCGAGATTTCTATGGTCGCCACAAACATTGCAAATATACTCAGGTATCGAACCATTAAGAAATCACAGTTAATTACTTTTTTACTGTTTTTATCTTATTTAAGTTGGTTGAAATGCATGAAGCAAATGAGATTATTCTAAATAATAAATAACTAGAACTAAAATATAAATAAAAGATATTATAGGTATAAATAAATCTAAAGTATTTACTATTAAAATTAACATAAGATTTAGAACAATAGGAAAGGAAAAAAAAAGAAAAGATTTAATTGTTTCTAATTTCAAATTTCAAATATTTGATAAATTAATTCTAAAACAACATGTGAATGCTGGAATCGATCCGGCGGCACTTTACTTGACAATTGGAGGCGATAACCATTGCGCCAAGCGCGCTGTAGATGAGATCATCGAAATATTTTATATCATTCAGTAACATAAAATTACAATGAGAAAGCACTATATTTATATGGGTATTGTATAGCTCGATCGTTCATTATTTTTGATTTCGATTTATTCAAAGTTTGTTATGAGTAATTTTATCTTTACCCTCGTTTTTATTTAAACTTATTTACTAAATTATTGCGTATACCGACACAAAAATGATTTTTAAATACCAAGATGTGTGTGATAGACGAATGTTTCTATACATATCTATTGATATGAAATTACCCACACATGTATATTGTGTAAATGATAGTTGTGTCGATGTGTAGCGCCGCTAACTAATTAGCGGTGCTTTGTGTACTTAATAAAAGTGTAGGCAAGTCCTACTTAACTCATTGAAGGTTCAATGGTTCTTAATGAATTACACTCATAATTTATACCTAGAACTGCAAAAATAAAACCCAATAGGCACAGCACAGTACCTACACTTCAATACATAAAAAACCTATAACAGAAAACTGAATTAAGTTCGATAGCAACGAGCTGAACGTAGATATTGATACCATACGTTGGCATTCACAATCATACATATTCATGCGACTAACGAAGCCGGAGGACGCATAGAAATTTCATCAAAAGCTCCCTGATTTTTATAAATCAAGCTATACTCAACTAGTTTATCATGATCTCGATTTGTATAATCTTTCTGAACATTCGACAGTCAGCATATACAGGTTCTGTATAGCTTGATGTGGAACTGTGTATCTGGGTATAAATTGCACGCATTTTTTTGTGATTGCATAAAAAATAAAAATAAATCGTATATTATAGCGTTAATTGATTCGTATGCTGTTTTTGTATAAATATAAGGTTGTACGAATAAAAGCGGTTGGTTTGTTGGTGTTGTTGTCAGGAGTGATTGTTGACCACTAGGGCTGGTTAAAGTATGATTACTTTTTCATTTCAGAATAAAATTCTCAGTGAAGGACTCCTCTCCTATAACTTTTTCTGGCCCTTACACTATGTTAGAGTCGGCGTCGAATCATAACCAGATTAACTCCATGTAAAACACAACTGAATGATGAATATAGAAACTTCTAGACTTAATCACATTTAGAATGAATTAGTAGGAAATCAATTCAAAGTGGGTATTATTAGATTTATACGTAACCAAATAACATCATCAATAGAACAATGACGAATTTAATATATCTAAGGCATGTTATTTAGATTACAGTACCAACAGGAAAAATAAACCCTAAAGCTAAAGTTTTAAGATACAAAAACGTGTATAATATTTTAGAAAATTACGCACAAGGAAACATATCGTAAATAATTCAAATATAAACTTTAACCCGCTAAACATAGTGATTACTGTACAAGATGACGCGAAAAAGATTTAAGTTAGAAACAAAAGCGATTTGTTTAATGAGTCATATTCGTTAAACAATTATTTACTAAACGTATTAAGATAATTTCTATAATTAAAACTATGATTTGGGTATTCAAACGAATAATATTTGCAAAAGAGTACGAAATAATATACACATTAGATTTCGAAAAATTATATAGTGATGCACATAGTACCTACATTACGTGAGTGATTTTTATCAAAGTTAAATAGGTCCAATCGAAACTACAAATCAACTGGTGAAATGGTTCCAACTATACTTATTATAAGATCTTATAACTAATCTAAGGAGGAAACCTTTTCCCCGAGCCGAACATACAGCGGGTCGCGTTCCGCGCGTGCCTCAAAGTGCCATCAGACCACCACAGATGGGGCACAATAAGGTTGATGCCCATACGGAGCCGCGGAAGACTTAACGGAGGGAGTACATGAATAGGAACGGGATGTTTTTTAGTCAGGAAGAATCTGGCACTTCCTCTCGCCTCACCCGGGCGGAAGAAGCCATTAGATGATTTTTCCCCTTCAAAAAAAGGGGGGCAACCTTTACAATGTGACTAGCTTTTTAGAGACAAAGACTTTGAAATTACTATCTCACTAAAACCGAGATAGCAACCACTACGATCTACGAGGAGCCTACGGATCTAAGTAGACCAGTAGTAAACTTATCTTTAAAATTCTAATACATATTAGATAAACAGTGTATAACAAACTACATAATCTACGAACGAACAACATCAAAGACCGAGTACTGCAACCACAAATAGTTACAACTATTTAGCCGAGATCTATTGTGTTATTGTTTTGCATAGCTGCTCCTCCGGTAGAAAACAAAACAATATCGATGTGTTGTGATACATTTTGTTGGTAGCTACAATTTGTTAGATGGAATTGTTACAAAGTTCTATGTATTTCAAAGAAGTATAAATCCGTGTAAGAAGGATTATTGCAGTCAAAATTGGGTTAAAGCAAGGCAAGCTAGCCTATTTTTGACGTCAAATAAATATTAAATAAAATGTAAAAGATGTCAGTCCGTCGGTCAGTCTTCTAGTGAAGCTATTTGCTCGTTTCAAATTGTACATTTTTGAAATTAAATTTGTAACAGGGGTACATTATGGTTTAAAAAAACATAAAGTCCACTTTTATCCTATTGGAACGAGGCAGGTGAAACCGCTTGCAGAAGTAAATGAATGAAAAATCGCTGTATCTCTCAACATGGGACCTCCAAATCAACAATCACAAAACGGGTAGTACACGCCACGCGTTGCCAATTTACCCCTTCGACGGGGCGCGTGGCAAATTGACACACTGAGTTACTTGACACGTTTACCTCCTTGTAGGTAAAATGGATACGGTATATGTGTCAACGTAAGGTGGAATAAAGTGTTCAAATTAATGATTTTAAGTGAGATAAAAATATAATGATTGTGTACTGTGCACGATGTGTGGTAACAATGAAATTGGCCAGCTCTAGTCCCAGAATTTGAATTTAAAAATATTCACGGTTGACTATAATGATTTTAAGAGAGAATAAAAAATATGGGTGTTATTTATCAATGAAACATGGCCATCTCTAGTCTAAGAATCTTTATGATTGGTAGGTAATCTAAAAGGTTATTAAATTATGGGTGGGTTAATACTTTAACTGTAAATTCCCTTTTTTCAATCAAAATATTCAATATTCAACAATTCAGTATTTTTGTTTTACGGTTCATTTCTTTGATATTACGTTTTTAAATACAGGTGCAGTAAAAACTTCCCCTTAAATTATCAAAGAGAGCTGCTTGCCTGGTTTTTGTTCTATGTATGTGTGTATTTTCCATAAATCAGCCAGATTACACTAGTAAGAAGAGACCAGCAGAGATATTTTCTACTACGTCATAATTAGTCAAATGTATTTATCTAATCCACCGAAATTGTCTCCAAAATGCCACATCTGCACAATTACCACGTAAATATGCGAAACCTATCGATGCGTAATAACGAACGAATGAATATGAATATAAAGTGATTGCGCGCCTTTACATTAACATAAAATCACAACTAATATAATATTTACTAATATAACGTTTTATCTTACTTATACGTTCACGCAGGCAAAACCTCAGATACAAGCTAGTTAATCCCAAATCCTTAACCGATATCATAAATGCGATATTAAATTGTTACCTCTTGGTACTGTACTACTAAGAGGTCAGTCGATTCGCAATTGTTCTCGCACAATCGAACCAACAAAACTATGTAACTAGTGAATTGTATTGTGAACCTGATTGAAAAAAAGTAACCTATGGAGTTTCTTACTCGTTCTTCTCCATAGAGACCTGTAGGTTTCTATATTATATGGATATTATATCTATGGATATTATTTCTATGGAAATGGAAATTTCAAGGTACACCTTGAAACTACAGCTTCACTTTTAATTTTAGTTTGACGTTCAAATGTCCTTTTTTCTTGTAATTAAAACAAATGATTTTGACTTTGACTTTGCAAGCATGCCTGAAATGAGCATGTTAATTTTGAGCAAAATTCCAATCCAATGCTGATAATTTTAAACATGGTTTGGTGCTTGAAATTAGTATGTGTACCAGTATCTTTATGATTTACCTAATCCTACAATCTGTTTGAAATTAGAAGTACGAAGTAGGACGTAAATTCACACAGGCAAAGCCAGCAAGCAAAAGCTAGTGTCAATATGAAAGTGATTGAGCGCCTTTGCATTAACATACCATTAATAATATACATACCTATGACCTATGTACTACCTACTACATATTCTAGAGGGAGAAAGCTTTCTTATGTTCTATGTTCGTAAGAAATTATTTCTAGATCAAATTAGGAGTGAATGTGATAAAGGAAAATGTTTTTTGCGCCAAGGTAGAGGTCAACACTGAATTCTGTAATAACTCATTTCTTATTAAAATACTTTTTCTTATATTTGATGGGCCGACGTTTGACCACTATTTCGCCTGGTGGTAAGCGATGACGCGTTTTTACTAGCTCGCTTCGTTAATATAGTGTTAGTTTAATCGTGTTTAATTTAAATTAAATAATTCTGTCTGACGATTATCATTATCACTCAAGCTGTTTATCTAGGGCTCTCATTATGGCTTGTACCTAGTTAAGTAACGTCGTAGAATAAGCTATGCTTATTCACGTAATTGTAACTTAATTAATTTAATCGGTTAATCTCTTGTTGGATTACATATTCGTAAGTATTGCTTTTATACATGGCTTCGCTTCATGGTCCTATCATAAGCGGTTTAGGCTTAAAACAAACTCACATTAGTATTCCCAACTTAAGTTAGCACAAGATAAAACTCTTTTCTAAAACATCGGGCGTCTGATAATTAGTTAGTCCGTCAGTTAGATAATGAAAAAATATTAGACGCGTATTTTTTATTTTCTTATATTAAGTTGCAATACTTAGATAAAATGGCGCTATTTTTAGGAATGGGAGGTCGTTACGTCATAACGTGCTAAAAAATGTGACACGCTGTGACGTCAAACGTTATTTCAAATTAATATATCGTCTAAAGTATTTAATTTTGTGAGAAAAGAAAAAATAAGTGTCTAAAGTTTCAAATTAATGTACCAGACGGACATTAAAATGAAATTTAGGAAACTACCCTATTGAATTTCCGACTTTATATCAAAGCAATAAAGATGACATTTGGTGACTATAATTTACTGTTACAACAAAAAATATTAGTACAACACTTACTTCCTTCCATTTTTGCTGGCACGATGTAGAGGGGTTGATGTGAAGATCACGTTACGGCAGGCGGGGTATCTGTACTGGTCGACCAGTTGTGGTCGCACCTGTAGTAAATGCTGCACCACCGCCAATCTAGGGAAAAAGGATCCTTTAGTATTATGTTTCTTAAGACCTGACAATTAACAAATATCATTCATTTGACCTAAATAGGTCATAATTTTACGTAGGAGAGTCGTGCTTCAGCACAAATGGATGATCTCGACTCGAGCGGAGGGATACCACGACGTCACAGTAAACCAGTGTGAAATAACGCTTGCGATTCATCGTGTGAGGTAGCTGGAGGCTCAAAGCTCCCCTCCTCAAAATGCGTGCAACGTATTTGTAACTACTTTGATGTTGCGAATATCCATAGACTGCGCTGATTGCTTACTATCAGGTGATCCATCAACTCTTCAACTTCCTTATCGCGTATAAAGAAACAGGATTGCCAAATGACTTTGTGATTAAGTCAGTATATCAACACCTATTAAGTTTAAAATCAATTAACAACCTTGATAGGACATTCTTACCTGCCGTACTGCGCTGCAAGGTCCAGTGCGCTTTCATCGTTATTGTTCTTGATGGTGACATCAGCTCCTCTTGATATCAGCTGGCCGACCACATTTACGAAGCCAAATTGGGCGGCTATAAGTAGTGCGGTTTCGTGGTCTGATGTCTGCGAGACAAAGTTTTGGGTTAAATAAGGTAACAGAGGGTTAGAAATCAAAAACACATAATGTCCCTTACAATAAAACCTGATGCTTAGTTATCTGTAACTTTCATTGGCGGAACATAATTTTTTTTTTGGGTTCCATTTATTTATTGTTAAGAAATAGTAAAAATACTACTACTATAATAGATGTTGGTAGAAAAATAATGATCAGAACTCAAAACGAATCAAAATAATCGTTCCTGTTTCACTACAAGCCTCCAATTTTAAACCCTAAAACCACACAAATCCATTAACTATTAACAAATCTTCGATATACATATTAGAAGGTACTAAATCTGTTGCCAATCGTGTTTTACACGCCCTTTAAGTTGCCATATCTTATCCGTATTCAAATGTCGACGCCCCTGCAAATAGTGACCGGTTCGAAGTCGCCGAAGCTAAGTCTAGTTAAATAACTATCGATTCGAAGGCTTGGCGGACGCAATTTAATTATCTTAGTGACTAATAAACTATTGTTGAAGACTTGTAAATCTTAGGTAATAATTCTTTTATTCCTTGGAACGGTAGGAAGAGGTGTATATTTGAAAATGCTAGACGCCTTTCAATGGTTTCAGTGGCTTTTTTAAGGGAGGACAATCATCGAATGTGTTTTCTTGTCTGGATGAGGCGAGAGAACCTGCGTGAGGCGTGAGGCCGGTATCTAGTTATAGAATAAACCGCGCAACCTAGAAAGAAATATCTTGCTCGACTAGAAGTTGCTTCTGAGACGCCTTGTTCGGCAATTGAGTATGACTTGATGAAGAATAACAGTCTATTCGACGAATAACTGACGACGTCAGTATATAACGACACAGTGATATTCCATAGCAACAAAAATGTACAATAATCCCAAATAAGTTTCCGTAAAAGTTTCGATATAAATTATAACCTTAAACATATAGAAAAGTTAAGGTTTGTTATTGAAGAAATTGTTGGACAACTACGCCCATATATCAGAACCCTATATTATTTCCCACTTTCGTTGTGGATACATTTACATATTTTCTTTTGCATTAAAATGGGTCACGTATACACCGATAACATTTCTTTATGAGTTTATTTGGCTAACCGGGTCGCGTAAAACATTATTAAGCACCTAAGAATTTTCGGTTTTCCAAAAATGCTCAATATGTAGTAACACGGAGCCTACACTCGTGTCTAGTGCATTTAAAGAAAAAACGTTGCCCTACACTAGAATTTTGTCCTGTGTCGTGGGTGCGTTTACAAACATACAATATCACATACACATGACGCCTAGACCCGAATTTTGCGGTCCAACCGTGTCACCCAAAAACAATACCGCCGGATACCCAGCCACCGCGCCAACCGTGGAGTCAATACATTCTTACCCTGTTTAATATAAGATTATTGAACTATTACTAGCACAAAGTGAGTGTTAACATTTAATAAAGTGCACATCTGTGTATTATTCTTCTGGGACTAAAAAACTGTTGTCTTTTTAAGGAGTAATTTGACTAGAAGCCCTGGAATGTTTCAAAGCAGGTATGCCGGTCGTATACTAAGCTTCTAAGTAAAAGGACGGAGCTGACGTAATGAACATTCTTAGAATGTTCTGGAACTTACTAGACTCGCGGATAGAGAACGCGTTACGAATATTTTGCGGGATATCTTGAATAGATGTATGAACCTAACAAGTTATCATGTTACGAATTCTTAGATAAATGTTGAATAAGAAATCTTATGAAAGGGTATTATGTTACCTACTGGAGCAACTAATATTTTCAGAACTCCTACTTTACTTAATGTAAAATCTTGTTAGTTAGCTAGTAATACTATCTTCAATTTAGTACAATTAAAACATCCATGAATCTTTATTCTTTCTTCAAAACTTTTCTGAACATTTTGTCAAAATTTTAACACTTTTTATACGTAATCTACGCCCATTGGTGTCATGATCTAGAAAAGCATTAAGAACTACTGCAAGTTAAAAGTATGGCTACAATAAACCAAATACCAAACCAAACCAAACCAAATAGAAAATTATTCAAGGCACAATGCACATGCTCCGCTATTGACCCCCCATGGCGTTTAACGCATTATTACTTTAAATGTATACATACCAGCTGATCAATGTTAACAGGAGGGTTATGAGCAAGGAGCATCCAGCAGACGTCGGTGTCACCGTTGAACGCGGCCAGGTGAAGGGGCGTAGCGCCTTTCTTGTCTACTATGCCAGGATTCGCGCCTACTGACAGTAGGACGCGGACTATCTCTCTAGAAAAGAAATGTTTGGATTAATATTTAGGTGAATTTTAATTTAAATACATAAGGGTGATTTTATAACAATTTTTAGGCGATTTTATCAATAATTCAAATCGGAATATTTCAACTACGCTAGCTACACTACTCAACACTTAAAAAATATCTGACCCAATTCATATTATTTCATAATAAGCTTGACCAATATAAAAATACTGTATGCATTTTATTTCGATATCACATCTGGTTATAGGGATAAATATTTTTTTATTTTTTTACCTACCTACAAAAGTTAAAATGCGGGTAGTCCGGAAACTTATTACTTTTGCAAATGGATCATAGTGCATTTGTTAGTATATTAACTGACTTCTAAAATGTCGCGAGTGTGTGTTAACAGTCCTGATTTATTTTGCTATATTTGTGGCGAGTTTACACCGAAATCGAAAAAAACCACTTTCTGACTTAATTAAACAGTGCTATCAAGCTTATTTTAACCGTGTCGTAAGGAATCAAGACAAGTCATGGGTTCCTAAAGTGTGCTGCTTAAGATGTTATACATATCTCAATGGTTGGTGTAAGGGAACAACTAAAAAAATGCCATTTGGTACGCCAATGGTGTGGATGGAGCCAACGAATCATGGCGTCAATTGTTGTTATTTTTGTTTCAATTAAAGGGGTTTTCTGAAAAATCAAAAGGAAGTATTAAGTATGCCAACGTGCCATCGGTAATAAAACCTAAGCCACATTCTGACGAGTTACCTGTTCCTGAGTGCCCAGTGAATTTAATTCAGACAGTTCAAGTCGACTCGAGTTCGACGGATAGTGAAAATAGTGAGGACCCCCAAATATGTCCCAAAATGTGCATCTCAGCCACTTTTATTGAATCAAACTAGACTTAATGACTTACTGATTCAAGATCCATCTTTTATATCTGCTCTCAATAATATTGAAAAACAAGCATGGAACGCTTTTGTCAATGTCACTAACAATTTCCTTGGTAACAAGAAATCTGAAGATTTTCGCGAAAAAATAATAGTTTTATTGGACTGCTACTATAAAATGGGATGCAATATGTCACTTAAGTTGCATTTTCTTCACTCGCATTTGGACTTTTTCCCTGAAAATATGGGATCAGTCAGTGACGAATATAGCGAACGCTTTCACCAAGATGTTGCTGCATTTGATAAGCGATTTCAAGGCAGATGGGAGCCTGCTATGCTCGCGGGTTACTGTTGGAGCCTTATTAGAGAGACCCCTGCTACTGAGTACAAGAGAAAAGCCAGCTACTCCAAAAAAACTGCGCCATTTCAATTAAAATTACAATAAAATTATGGAAAATTCGTGATTCCGGACATGGATGTTTATCTGGACATTGAGATGTGATGGTGTGTGTATATTTGCATATTTTTATTACTTTAGTGGCAAGAAATAGTAATCACATAATGCGACCTCAGATAAAATCAAAAGTTGAAAATTTGTTGAGTAGTGCTATTAGAGACATAATTTTAATAGTATTGTTTTAAGGATTTTTTGTGGCTACCACTGAATGGCTTTCAGTTAGCTTAACTGACACATATTTACAATGGAAGATGTGTCAAATCATCTCCATAAATAAGACTCGATATGTATTCAGCCGAAACCAGACCAATATTAAGCAGGGCAGTAACTTTACTAACATACAGGTTCGTCAAAATAGCTGTAAAACACAATATTTCAGTTTTAATATGGAATAGGACGCAAACCAGCAGACAGATCACCTAATAGTAAGCGATCAGCGCCGCCCATGGACACCCACAACACCAGAGGAGTCACAGGTGCGTTGCCGGCCTTTAGAAAAGGAATACGCTCACACTTCGAAAGGTTTTAAGGGCATCAGCACCAGGTTATTTTTAGGTGCATTAAAAATAAGAAAGCCTATAGTCATCCTTCGAATTCAAAACCAGTTTCTTCACTGAGGACTCAAAACTATTTAATTAAAGATGTGAACAATTCTTACTTTTTCGAAATTGAATTTAAACATTGAGAGTCTCATTTCAATTAATTATTCTGATAATTAATTATACCTACTTTATTCAAAAACATTTCGAAACGCCTGGTCGACGCATCTCGTGACCAGAGGGCTGATCTTTTTCTCGGTCAGAGGTTAAGCATTGCCATACAACGTGGCAATGCTGCCAGCCTTCTGGGTACTTTCCCTACTGACGTCGATGCGGACGAATTTTTCGATGCTTTGTGTAAATATTTATTTTCAGTTTTATTTTAATAAATTTTTATCTTAAGTTGTATATATTTAGTAATACCTAGTTAGTATTTATTTTGGAATTTAATATGCCATTATAAAACTTGACGTCACCAATTAGTAACATTTATTTACTTATTTTTTAGTTATTCATTATTTAATCGATTAATATAACCATACAAAATGTAAAATAATTGATTATTAATTTTAATTATATACAACCTTTACAGTAGAAAATGATATTATTTAGTAAAAACGGTATTTTAGTGTGATATATGTTCATAATTATTTTGCACTCGCGTGCATGAATCACATTGGTAAATCAAATAGATTTTCCCATATAACATTTGTTTGCGGTTGTCTGCTCCTCTGACGTCACTCAACAGCGTCCAAAGTCGACTTTATATAAATAAGTATTACTATTGTGAAGGAAAAAGTGTTAAAACAAACAAAAATCCTTTGTTTTAGAACCGAAATACATTTTTACATGAAAAAAAATGAAATTTGTACAAAAAGTGAATTTTATTTACATAAAAGTCGAATTAATAACAAAACTTACCGATGTCCATTCAAACATGCTTGATGAAGAGGTGTATAACCGTTATCATCCTGTACATTCACACCCGCACCTCGACGCAAGCTGTAACAAACGAAAAAAAAAATTAAAAAACGTACAAAAAGAATTCGCAGTCGGTAGGATTCGAACCTACGCTCCCAGAGGGAATCTGATTTCTAGTCAGACGCCTTAACCGCTCGGCCACGACTGCCATGAGAGCACTGTCGAAATTAGCGACCGCGTCATACAATTTCGCTATTCGAAAGACAGCAATTCACAAATACGTTTTGGAAATACCATTCTATTATTGCGTACGTCGTACATCGTACGTCATCACTTCTATATTAACACGTTTCATTCGATATTGTTATTGAAATACGAAAAAACAAAGTACCCTATCTAATAATATGTAACGATTTAAAGAAAATATTTCACGTACGATATATTCAGTACATTTTATAATCGCAATGTTCCCAAAAACATTGATAAGATATTTTTATTAACGCTTCCGAGTACGGCAGGCCTCAGATCCCTGATAAAGTATCGGTAAACAAACATTGATTATTATTCAATTGGTTTGTCAACAAGACATAGAATCATTACACCGTCCTTGAACTCACCAGGTGCGGTCATCGAACCATGCACTTTACGGTTCATCAGACGTTCAAGCATAACGCAACTGTAAAACTGTGACGCAAAAGGTTCATATTTCCGTAGCACTAATTGTAAATAGCTTGAGATGTAAGTACAATACGATACTTGCCATTTTAATGAAGGACATTTGCAATACAGACATAAGGAATTCTAGGAGTATTTTTACTAAAACTGGTCATAAAGCATTAGTCGTAAATGTTTTATATCATGATATGGAATATTTTAATGATAACTATATGAATGGCGAAGGCAAGAAACCTATTTTAAAAAGAATCAATCCAAACAGATAAATAACTACACAAATCAGAAAACGACTACATATTTATATCTTGCTATGCCTAATTTTTGGAAGACCTCAATAGAAAGTTTCTATATTCTAAAAAAGACACATGTAACAACATTGAACCAAAACATTACACTGTCTTTAGTCCTTGTCACTATCAAGCCCACATGCTCAATAAATATTGTCAACACTAAATACATCAATCTCAATTTCTATAACACCCGAAATCAAGCTCTAATGGGCAATTTTTTGCCCAATTAAGCATAGAGCTGAGATATAAAAAAGTAACAGATGGGTAGTAATTAGGTATGTACGAATATAAGTTTACGGGTCAACCGTTAGTGCCAAATAAACAATTATGAGAATGGCACCAACGGTACAATTTGCGTAATAGCTGTACAAACATTTTGTTATGATTTTTTTGTGTCATGCGAACTTAAGATAAAGACGGTAGTCATTATCGCATTAGATTTTGTTAGAATAAGTATTTATGCAGCATTATAATCATACCTTAATTTGGGTACTGTTATAATTGATATTTCATTAGTTCACGATGGTAAATAAATAAATGAGAGGTATGAAGTTGAAAACGACTAAAAAGAAAAAAGTATAGAGAGTAAACTGTAGTTTACAAGGATTTACAGAAATTTAACCCAACAGACTCAAAAAGCCAGAATACAAAAAGAAACTTGAAATAAACAAAACCTAAAGAAGCAAACAGACAATCAGGTAGAAAACTGAATTGTGTATACGAATTCCAGGACAGGCAAGGACGAGCTTAAAATCCGTAACGTTAATGAATTAGCGGACATTCTTAAGCAACATAAACCATAAATTAACAAAAAAGTCACATAAACACGCGATTGCAAATTAAATAAAAAAAAAATAATGTCAAGGTCAACGTAAAAACCCATTACTTTGAAACACCGTGTGTGTATTTGCTTCTCTGCGAAACTATACTGAATAGCTATAGTCTCAAAGTTAAAACTGGAAAGAGACTGTGAGAGATATGCAAAAATCACCAGTATATGGATATGGGTATTCCAAGAACCGGAAGTTACGTGTTGGAGCCGTCAAAGGCAACGTGCGTTGGGCCTGTCCGGTTTTTCCAAGAATCAAAACCTCTTGAGTCACCGAACAAGCGAACGAGTTCTTAAATCGATTTGACCACTGCTAATGATAAGTTTGGGATGGAAATCGATAAACATTTTGTTGTTATTATCGTTATTATGTTCAGAATTCCGCGAATTTTAAAGATACCTTTTTTAATGCCCTCGTCTAAGGTTATTAGAAACAAGATCAATAAAAGGAGAATTTCGATTCTAATGAGAAAATAGAATAATAAGATGATAAATTGCTCCAAATATACCTTTGAAAATTATTTCAAGATCAGTCCTTGATACCAAGGGCTCTTGAATAGGGGGATAAAGTAGATAGCAACTTTTGGATTCGCAAACTCAGCTATACAAGCCAAAGCCTTGGATAACGACGACCAAGTGTTACAAATACGTGCAGAAGTACTTAATATTGATGAGTAATTCATAAATTGATAATTTCATTACTAACAATCTAATTATGTCTTTGTATCACAACATTATCTATTATTTGTAGTGATAACGGTAATGACAGTAATATCACTTGACTCTGTTAGAAAATTTAGAGATAGTGTGTGCAAATGGTACAGGTTTGGGACAGTAAGAAGTAACATGTTAAACAAATAAACAATACACTATGTATATATCTATAGTCAGTCACGCAAATAAATAATCAGTTGGTCCCGTTACAGCAACAGTCATTTGCAAACCGAGAGTGGAGGCAAGCGTAACGCTAAACTTTGCCAATTTGACGGACCATGAAGACAACTTAATACTTTGAATGTCGCAACATCTGTCGCTATGTAGATTTAAAGAGCCAGGCTCAAGATAATGTTAAAAACAAAACAAATTGAAATCAGGCCACAATGCCGATAAGAACACAAATACTGAAATTTAAATATTAGCGAAGCCGTTTTATTGACTATGAAGCTATAAGTCTCGTACCTTCTTTATTTAATGATACAAGAAAATCGTAGGCTTTAGAATACAACAATACATTATTATTTTCCTTGATCATGCGTTTGGTTTTGTGGTAAATGACCTAAACACCAAGTTTTAATGGATACCAACTGTTTTCGTGTAATTAAAACCGACTCCCTCTATACACTTTCACCGTAACTAGGTATTAAAAGTTTCGAAACTAAAGGTATCAAATTCATAACAGCGTCTTTAAAATATAGGCCCAAAAATTAATGAAGAATAAAATCAAAAGAGAATGTATAATGTTAGATTATTAGACACTTGTGGAGTAGGTAACAAAAGACAACTTTCTCTCAACCTAATAAGTCAACGGTAGAATAACCTGATTGAAGATACGTATAACACTTGGTCAATAATGAAATATTGAGGTTCGAACTGGCCTATGAGTCATACGGCAGTATGTGAGACATAAACAATAACATACTAACTGGCATGTATGTACGTCACTAACCAGTTAACTACAACAATCTCTAGAGTTCTCGATTGTTATACATGATGGTTTTAATGCCGATTCGCTTGTGTTAATTTGTTTTCAAACAGTGGATGGATTTACAAATCCATGATTGGCTATATCGTCAGGTCATAAAAAATAATAAGAACCACAAGCATCCGGCAGAACCAACTTTTTGCTCTAATTCTAAGTTCACTCACCTGTTAGCTCCAAAAACTCTGTGACTAAACTTTTTAGTTTTAACCCAACTCCTTTGGAAGCTGTACCTAACATCGCTAATATTTAAATCGAAACTGTTTTTGTAATTGCAGCACTGCACTGTTCTCTCACTGTCACTCATTGTACTCGTCATTATAACATCAAACACTACAATGAAATGACGATGAAACTAAATGTAAGTTTAAAATTGTGGAATCGTGACTCACGTAGCACTCACAAGCAATATTAACAGGATGGTACGCACTGGGAACCATGTTCAAAATGACACTAAAATTCAACAGGTCTCACCGGTGTGTACAGACGCCAGGTTGAATGAAGTTTGCGTACAATTCTAACAACAAAAGAGAGATAAGATAATTTCTGATTAGATATGCGAATTGGTCCAAGGAAATGCAAAACGGTTATATGATAATCAATTTGTTATGTTGTATTTCGTCGGTTTTAGACGTGAGTAGAACATTGAAGTATAATTAACTTCGATTATTTAGTTTGCTGGTATTTCCATACTGTAATATGTTCAGCAGTTAAATTATTAGGAAAACACAATGAGGTAAAAGATTTAAAACTATGGCAAATGAAAGAACAATGACATTAAGTAACAATTTATAAGTTACGTGATATTTCTATAAAAGTAAACCAAGGTATAGGAATTATTAAATCGAGACAGTAACAAATAGAACAGGTACATTTTACGAAAACCAAAGTAATACACAACAACGCGTCTCTTCAAACACAGATACTGACACAAAATGTGTACAATATTCAATAATATAAATATCAATAGTAATTATACACAAATGACAGACACAATTAGTCAGTAATCAACAAGATAACAGAACCGATCAACTTTTCACTATACTGTTGCAAACGCTTTAGCAAAGTCTGCACTATTATTACACGTAATTCAATGTATAAAACCAAAGTATGACTGAATAATGAAGATCATCACAAAAATCTATACCAACATACCGACTTAATTATATTATTTAACTTGAATTCATATCATTTGAGGAACTGCTTTAGACCTTGAGAGAAAATTTTATAATCTTCCGGTGTCCTTAGATTATGTTCAATGAGTTTGAATCAGATAATTAAATGTACAAGTATTACGTCATTTGTAATGGAAGTAACTATTTCCGAATTCATGAACTAACATTCTCAGGTAATTAGAAAACAAACTGCACTTGTCTCTTGTTTTGGCTGCTTTTACAGGGTATTAGAAAAAAATTGGTGGTTATTTTTTTTATTTCATTAAAACCATCGATTGCGAGAATAGCAGCTCTAGAATGAGCTTCAACTATCTTTCAATGACTACAATCTATCTTTAAAAATAATACACTAACGCGCACACACACACAACGTTACTCTGGGGTAAAATGAGGTTAGTTAGCTACACTTTAAC